AGAGCATCTAAACATAAACGCATCATGAAACCTTAAACATGAGTGTAACGAAACATGACGGCATCACAAATACAAAAGACAAGCCTGTAAACATATACACTGCCCTTCAGGAGATACGGATAGGCACAAGTCTTCAAAATACTAATTTCTAGCAAGAAACATCAAGTTACAGGAAAACTGTAAATTTAGGGAGACATGGTTGAATGGTGGCAAATGAGAGAAACGTCACATAGCCTCACTTCCCTGAAGAGACATCCCACATACTAATGGAGATAGTTAGTAGATCACTGGATAGGAACTAAACTGAAATGAGAAACGGGAACTATTTGGTGAGAATCGGCCTGATTGGAACACAGCCAGCGACTGAAACTGAACAAAAAGCCTGGAGACTTATTCAAGTCTTTAATGCATGTAGGAACATACAGGTTTACAACCAGATTAAAGAGACTCTGGAGCTGCTTATTCCATAACATCAGATTTAAGACTCAAGCTAAAGCACTACATGCTCATACACGTTCACATATCGCACAAATCTGTGAAACACTCACAGACAGACATGACCATAACATAGGAAGAGAAAGAACACTCTCGCCCACATCCTCTTGAATAAACTCCCACACCAATGCACACAGAACAGCTCATGCAAACCAACACATACTGCCTGTTGACGTCACATACACACAGACACAGATGACGTTTCAACCGCAATGTCAAAAACAAGCAGTAAATATATCTGACAAGCTCCTTCCACACAAACACTGTTTCTCATCGCATAAAAATGTCTCTGTGACACTAAAGGGCCATTATTTCCTGTCAAGGGCACTCCAATAAAGTAGAGATGTCTCCAAATAGTGGACTAATGGAGACAGTGAGTAATCTTCTCGCAGACATGTGTGCCTCTATTGTATCTAGTTCAGCTACTCGCATGAAATTAAGTGAATCGACTGGGCACAAAGTGCATCATAAATAAAGCAGGAATACAGAACGACTGGGAATCTCATCACTGAGGCTCTAAGTCATCTGAGGTCAACACCTGTTATCAGTGTTATTTTCATTAAAGTCGCAATGAAGTAGTTACAGATTTTTCTCTTCCATATTATGACGTACATCCCAGTGAAACAAATTATCGAAATAGAACAAAATGAAGGGCTGGGTTTTTGATTGGATAGAGACTTGGATAGAGATTTTATGTGGACAAAATAATTGGAGGAGTCCGGCATAAGTTATGATATGCATTGATGATTCACAATAAGATCAATAACAAACATTTAGAAATTATATAGGCTGAATTATCATTTCATGCCAACTTGAACAAAAACTGAAACATGAATAAAAAATAAAATAATATAAACATAAATATAAAATGATGAAGAAACAGAAACTATACTACATTTTCATGACTCTAAAATTAATTAATACATAATAAAGTGAACACAAATCATTTTAGTTTTAGATACATAAACTTAAACTGAAAACAAATGAAGGGATAATAACTAAATTGTAAACTATAACAACCCTATCTTTATCTAAACCTTAGTGTAAATCGTAATAAATCACACGAAACTAATGCAGGAAAAAGCAGCAGCAGCACAATGATTTCACACTCCCTAAATCTGGTTTAGATTACATCTTTGACTAAATGTGGTCTACTTTCAGTGCAAATGCAGAAAAAATCTTTAGTGCAAACTCAAGTTAGGGACAAAGCCAGCTTATAACAGTCCGGCTGAGTGGGTGAGGGGCCTTTGGTATGGGGGAGAAATGGGCAAAGCTAATTTTCAGGCAGACTGAATGAGTGCTGAGCATAATAAACGACTCTCCCATGGCAACAGTCTGTAACTCTATTGACTGAGTCCAGTAAAGGATCCATGTGGAAATATCCTATCCATAGCTTTTGGTAAAATATAATGCCACTGTCATGAAATAAAAGATTTAAATATGTTATGACTACAAGCCCTTTCTCAATCTCCTCGTAACCGTCAACGATGAAATGATGTAGATTATTCTAGGCAGCTGATTTATGTCATTATATGGGAAAGTCCCTTCAACCAAAAAACCAAAGGAAAAACTAGGTTATCGCCTTTATTTAGCATCACTCATCTATGCCTTTGTTTCTTCGTTTATTTTCCACTATTCCGTCATCAATAATTCAGTTCCTTCCATAATGTATTGACTGAACATACAGGAATAATCGAAAGTAAAACTTGCTTCTCAAGAAACAAAACAGGACCAGGTTTCATATCAGTGACACATATTGGGATTAATACCATTTCATACGTCAAATACGAAAACGCATAAAGCTGTTTGAATGTTACGTGGCAAATATCTATAACGTCAACATCGTCTTGTGATTCACTGCCGAACAATGTTTGTCTGTATGAACATTTAATTTTCTGCTCTAAATTACCCAATACCTGTAAGGCGATGAAAGCACCTGTCATCAGTTTTAAAAACTAAACTGAGGTTTAATCCACTGTCACCTTAAACTAAGCATTATTAACACGATATAAAAGCAGTCTGACTGATACAGACTGTATTTTTTGCTGTGTTTAGCTCTCAAGCTAGTCACGGCAACTCCGTTAGCAACCGCACAATCATGCTAATTACACGAATAAAGTTATATTTCTTTCTCCTAAAAATAATGACCAGGTGATACGATACAAAATATCCTTAAAAACAAAAATACAATAAATGTAACTGAATGCAGAGCGAAGTAAACACCAGCACGTCTTTGTTCTTCGTGTGTGTTAGCAGCAGCCTGTTTAAGTTTAGCTTGGGTTAGCCAGCGAGTCCCACATACCTGACTGAATAAAATCACTTTGACGATAATTAAAATAACAACATTTACATTAAAGAGTGCCGCGTCTTATCTTACCTTTCTGCGTTCTAACGACTGACTTCTGAAGAAATGGGGTAAATGTGATGGGAAGCAATGTAAACAAGCCGAGCACAGTAAACGAGACTCTTTTCCTCTTTAGGTTGGTGCAGTGAAGTGAACAGAGGGGAGGTGATCGAGAGAAAGTACGTGCGTGTATATTTCTTTGGTTTAGTAGCTCAGTTCACTTCCTGCTATCTCATTCATGAAGGAGGCTGGGCTGAAACTTCTATTTATACTTTTATTACTCATTAACTTAAGCACAGTCACTCTGACTGCCAAGAACTACCATGGTAACAATAACTCCAGAGTCCAGTTATTGTTAATACTGTAAAATCACTGGACTGATTTGGGATCAGTTATTTTTTCTTGATGGCAGTGCTGGAATACCAAGTTATCAGTTCTACCAATATATCAAATTTAGTTCAGTAACTACATTAAATGACTACAATCATGACTACAATCATCAACTACATTAAATGACTACATACAATCTAGTATGTTTTGGTTTCATTCTGATTTATGTGTTATAGCTATAAGAGGTTCCATAATGAGTAAATTGCTGAACCATACATCAGCTGTAAATTAATTGCTGCCCTACAGTTGAATCTCATTCTAAATCTGCTTCCACGAAATTTGAAGGTAAATGTATCCTGCTCTTCAGCTTTCATTTATTATATTAGAAGTACCAATAAAAGAACATATAGGATTATTAGTGGACATAAAACAGTGAAGGTACTTATCTGAAATGACACAAACAAGCAACATTTTCCAAAACATGTAAAAGCACTTCATAGCACATTTGAATTATTTTATTGTCTTTAAGACAATACGTAAATATACAGTGCATTACAGTAATATTAAAGCCATATATTTGATGCTTGACTTGTAATCACAGGAATCGCCAGCATCCACTCAAATATTTAAGCAAGACAGATTTCTGTTAAATTAAAAATTATTTCCATGTCAATACAAAAGAGCACTGTCACTGTATCTGCATCCAATATATTCACATCAATTGTCTTGGCAGCGCAACTTACATTAACATCCATGAATAGCTACAAATAATTTAGCATCAAAATGGATACTTGAATGGCAAGTAGTGTATGTCACACTAGTGTAGGTCACGATGTGCTAGGAAGCCACAACCCCTTATTTTGTTTTTCAGACATCTTTGTCCATCAATGAAACAAATTCTCCATGAGAACAGAAAGTGCCCATCAATTATAGATAATAATTAGCAAGTTAATGGTTGGTTTTGAGATTTGATGAGACAATGAACAGTGAAACATAATCACAAAATCTTTAAGCACTAAGAATGGCATGCGTCCATTGCTAGTGCCAAATGCGCCACCTACTCAACTACACAACCTAATCAAACACAGAACAAAGTAAACACATTTAAAACATTTCCAAATAGCTGCATGCTAATAAAATACTGCAAAAAAATAAACAAAAACTATGTATAATAATGTTGCTCACCAAACTGACAGAAATAGCAGTTATCACTTCATACTTCATTATTTGTATTAATCAGCCTGGTCTAACATAAAGTTTGATTTCAGGTAATATGATGGCACTTTTTCAGTTGATATGGTCACTTTGTAAATATACAAAACCAGTGGTATTCTGGCAGGTGTCAAACACACTAGCAGGCACAAGGATTGTTCAAGATTTTGCTTCTTTGTACTAATTAAAACCAGCGAACCTGTTCAAACCTTACAATTCAATACTGAAAATTCATACTTTATGTTAAAAAGCATTAAATGTAATTTATGTATTTATTAGTGCTGTCAGCATCCAAAATAAAAGTTTTTACTGTACTGTGTATATTTATTATGTATATATAAATACACACACATACAGCATATATTTTGAAAATATTTACATGTATATATTCATATAATTCATATCATATATAAATATATTTAATATATAACTGTAACATATTTTTCTTAAATATATACATAATAAATATACACAGTACACACACACATATATTATGTAAACAAAAACTTTTATTTTGGATGCGATTAATCGTGATTAATCGTTTGACAGCACTAGTATTTATTAAATCTAAAGCATAACAATGCAATAAATATGCAAATGTTTATTTTCCAAACATAAGATCTTTAAGATATATTTATGTTTTCTTTTTTTGGGATTACTATTCAGGGATCAAGTTGCCGATTCTTTAACAAGTTTGTACTTGGTCTCAAGCCAACAACAATCACAGTGTAAGAAAAAGTCACAAGAGAAGAGAAGTCTAAAGGGTTCCTTCAAGGGTTCAAGTTCAGGATTAAGGACATTGCAAGGTTTTTGATGATTTGGTGATATTGTATCAATTAGACAGGAAGAATGTTGGATTAAAATTAAAGGAGCTAAAGAATTATTTCTGATGTAATGTGACTAAAGCAAAAGATAAAATGTTGGAGAACTCTGATAAAATAAAGCACAGATCTTTACATAATGTGCCCCAAACTGTGGGATGGGATACTGAATAAAGCTGGTTCTGAGAAGAATGACTAAAATATGGCCTGACATAAAGAGAAAACTGATTTAATCAAGTTTCTAATGTTAAGACTAAACCTTTTTACACTTGAAACATTTATAATATAATCAAAAATTAACAAAAGGCATTGTTAATGCATTAAATCACTCCAAACTGAGAAGCTCCACATCGAAGATGAGGGTCGCATTTGGGGGAATAATCCCAGGATGGCCTTTATTACCGTAGGCAAAATCAGGTGAACAGGTCAGCTTTGCACGTTGTCCCACACTCATCTAAAAGTCACACAAATATCAGCATGAATTATGTGATTTTCTTTTTCATTGAAATATCAATCCTAGGTGGACTGGATTTGGTAGTGCTTCATTAGAACATCATTTAAACTTAATTAAACTCAAAAAGTGTTACATATGATTTTCTGAGTGGACAAAACACCATCACATACCTGCGCAATACCTTCCTCCCAGCCACGGATCACTTCCTGTTTACCAATCTTGAACTTAAATGGCTTGTCACGGTCCCGGGAAGAGTCGAACTTCCGTCCATCTGTCAGAGAGCCTAAAGATTTAAGAGGAAAAGGACAGAAGGACAGAAAAACAGGAAATGAGGTTAGAGCATCAGATAAATGGGTTACTTTATTATTGTTCTGCTCTATCAGGGAGATTTTCTGTCTCTCTAACCCATGTTTAATAGCAGTAAATTATCAGGATATGAGACATGTACCTCTTTCAAGAACATGGCAAAAATACAGTAACATATGAACATAAACACAAGCAGAAAAGAGTCACTGATCCACTCATCAACACAAAGCAGGAATCAGTTACATTTATTCAGTATGTCTATACTGTACATAGTAATTCTCTTTAACAACAATAGTTCTTTCTGACCTGTTGCTATGACTCAATATGAATATCTCCCACTCTTCTTCCCATGTAATAAAGAAATAATGAGATGGAAGCCCTGAAGCACAAGGTGGAAATTAGTTTGGAGCCTTCCTGAGTCCGATTCCTTCATTATTTACTTTCTCCCTGCTCTACATACCTAGTAAATAAAAAAAGATCATAGAGAAATCATAGAAAAGTAAAAGTAAATAAAACGTTTTTTGTAAAAATCTAAGTAAATAATTTTAAGAGCGAGAGCGAGAGAGTCAAATATGATTTTAAAAAATCAGAAACAAGAAAGATGCAGAAAAAATGAAACAAAAAGAAAAAGAAAATCGAGTAAGGGTCATGAGAATGTAATGCAAAGTACAAAATGACAGAAATGTGGGCTTTTTTGGTACAATGTTGAATATTATATCAATGCTGCATAAAGTACAAGCAGCATATGCAAGATGGCAGGCAGGTTGTCAACTGTAATAATGATTCAACTGAGTATGAAAAACTTTCCGTAATTCGATTAAGTTACCTATTTAATCATCAAATAATCTACTTGGCAGAATAGTATTTCTTGGTTAGTTTGAACGATTAAAAGCCAATCACATCCCAGGGGTCGACTCCGTCCAGACAGTGATAATCCGTCTATCCGACGCCGCCAGCCTCGCTATCCAACAAAGACTGAATCACACGAGTGTCTGTCAAATCTGTTCAGTCTCAGCTGTCAGATGAGGATCATGTCTGCGGACAAATGCCAGTGTGTGCAAACAATACACAACTAATAGTGCATAACGGCTTTATTTGTCTTCCTCTGTATATTGTACTGTATCTTTACAGCACCCCCACTCTTCAGATGTCATTTTAACACGGATTGTTTGGAAATATGCATTAACCTTTTTTTTTCTCTAAATTAAGTCAGTAATTATAAATTTCCATATACAAAAATCCATATTCGTTCACAAAAATACAACATCAGTACACCCACCAAAAGAACATCTGAAATTCAACTCACCAACATAATGCACCACACATGTCTGTCCTTTTTTGGGGAAAGTCCTCCCTGTAACAGCAGCGCGAGGAGAAAAAGGGAGCAGGAGACAGAGCAATAATATAATGCTGTTAAACGCACGCAACTTAACAAATAATACGCTACTTTACGTGATAGAAGCTGCATTAAGGTGATTTTACCATCTCCGGGGGTTATGGTCTCGATCTCCACTCCCATTTTGTCCCGCTCGTGTACTGTATGTTTCTGAAGAGCCCTGCTGCACACTGTCTCGCTCACAGCTGTTTGTTTGCAGGCGGAAAGGAGCGATGCTGTCGGGTCACATGACCGCAGCGAGAAAACGGGGAGAGGGCCCAATAGCAGCGCACTAATTTAACATAAATCCTGCTGATGACAAATGCGACCCGTCTCCTTTGTTATGCCAAGTGAGTGAAAAATACAATTAGCCAACTCTTAACTTTTATAAAGAATATCTCTTTGGATTTGAGACTTTAGTCTTTGCAACTTTACAGATCTTCTTTATGCACCAAGAACTTGTAACACTCTAAAGAGAAAGGAAAAAATGAAATCGCATCATATGACCCCTTTAAAAAGCAAATAACTACATTTAAATGCTATTTTGTATGTACAAAAAAGAAAAGATGGATGAATCCCCCACCCTCCAGCTCATTGTAAAGTACCTATTACATAACATGCTCTCAACACACATTTCATCTGTAGTGTTGTAATGTGGGTGCCTGACTGGAGTAGCACGGATCCACCTCCCACGGACCCACGCCCCCTCCACGAACAACATGTCAAGTCACCCAACACGTTAAACTGCCACAAGGGGGCGCAATGCACAACAGAAGACCATGCACATGCACGTATTTACACGTTGCTGTTTATTTATACACTTTTACTTCATTGTCGTCATTACCAGTGTGGAATAAAAGTGCTGTTACAAACACTTAGACTAGCTGTGTGTATGCTTTCAACGTTATAATACTCTCTCCCAGCTTATAGTTTTTAAAAGTTGGCTTAACTGTAGGCTACACAACTACAAAAATATATAGACATGCCGAACTACACACAGATATGACAAATGTAAAACACTATCTTGTATCTTTTGATTGTTCCGTGTGCACTGGAGCACAAAAACTGGAGTTTGTCATAGCACTCACATGTACATGTAGGCTACAAAAATTCACTGTATATACACAATTGGTGAGCTTCACAGTTCTTGAACTGAACTGAATCAACACTGACTTACTTCAGACAGTCTTGGCTTAGTGCTGCTTTACGGTAGAATTTTATACTAAAAGGTGACTTGGATGCATTTTACAAAGCAAACATATTAATTCCTGTTAGATTGTTGTGTGTTACATAGAGAATTGTGTGTTGTGTTTTGCAAAAAGTGTTTTATGAAATTGAAAACTGAGTCAAAGGCTGAGAATTAGTGTATGGTTTTGCAGATTTGGTGTGTGGTTCTGGTGTTTGAGTGTCAGGCTTCAGAAATTGTGTGACAAGTAAAGGTTTGTGTGCAAGCAGTTGGAAAAAAAACTGTAAGTGTGGAATTTAAATAGCAGTTTTTCGCAAATTAAACACAAGAACGGATAATGTGCTAGCATTTTTGCAGACTTGGTCTGAAGATTGTGCCTTAAGTAGCCTACAACTTTTAGTGTGTAAGCAATTTAAAAAAAACTGTAATATGTAGAAACAGTTATAAGGCCCAAATCACCATAAAGGAATCCGCATCTGGTCCAGATCCGGAAAAACGGATCCGTGCCGGTATTGGCCCGTTGTGCCAAAAGACACCGGCCCGAGTCCGTTGTGCGGATCTGGACCAGAACTTCAGATGGGTCTGGGCCAGATCTGGCACAGATGATTTTTGCTATCTGGGAAGCCATTTATTCACTGGTTGATATAAACACTTTTTACACAGCAACATCAGCTTAATATGGGTTTGAGGCAGGATTATCTGTTTGTCTGTATATGGTGCAGAAATTACACACTGCTACTTTTAAGTGCACTAATATTTCTAAATTCTAGTCCTGAGGGCCCCACAGCAATGCACATTTTCGATGTCTCTTTTATTCATCTCTTTAGTAGAGATTCAGCTCATTAGCAGAAATCTCCCTGACCTGAAATAAGTGTGTATTATTAGTGAGACTCCTAAATAAATCCTGATTGAAAAATATTCACAATGCACAATAAAAAAGCCTTTACACTGAGGTGAAAACAGAGCATGTTCATGATCAACAGTTCAGCAGTGTTACAAAAGTAGTGAAAGCCACTCATTACTTCATAGGCTTAGTTCTTCTCCTTTCAAGGCAGTCTCTGTCCTGTGTACGACAAGATAACACACAGTGATGGAAAAGTTAATACAGCTATTGTATTATTGTATAATACAGCAACTTGTCAAGCATTTCATGCAAAACAGAAACACAGTGTGAGAACATGAAGACATCTCTGAACATAATATACTAGACTTTAATTTTCATAGAAGTAAAATTAATCTTGGCCTTCAGTGTATAAGAAGTTGCTTCTGTAATAAACAGGGTTCCCACTCTTTCATGAACACCAGATTCAAGGATTTTTTAAAGCAATATTTATTTAATTTCAAGCACCTATCAAATTCATACCCCAGAATATGTAGCATCATGAAAGACCTATTACAGTACTTAACATTTCACTTACACTTAACATTTACATTAAAATTTTCAGAATAATGAGGGTTTTGAATGTGTAGGTTTCATCAGTTTAGACCACTTTGAGCAGACGTGTTCAAAGGAATTTAATTAAATCCATTGAAGTCAATGGAGTTCACACTGGTAATATTCAAATACAATTTCTCAAATATTAATAAAAATATATATTTTTGCATCAAACTGGTTTTTGCTGTAATTCTTGTAAAAGATTTAAATTTGAGAGAATTTCTAAATTTTTAAATTAATAAAAAGTGGTTAAACAGGCTCTACGCGTACTTTTTAGACACCCTTAACTCCTTTCTGCTGTCTGTTGTTCTGTTGTCGGTGTTTCTTTGTTTGAATATGGCGCTTATCACATGCTGTGTGGTATCGGTGTTTGGTATCGGGGCATTTTAACGAGTACGAGTACGAGTACAGGAGCTCAGTATCGGGCCCGATACCGATACCAGTATTGGTATAGGTGCATCCCTACTTTTAACATTTAAAAAAATTCAGGAGCACCTTCTAATCAATAATCAAAAATTCTGATCAAATATTAGCCTTCCAATTTTACAAGATGATATTTGACTCCTTAAAGTGATTTACGGGGAATTTAGTTTTTACACCTTTGTAATGGCATTTTTCTAACTTTATTAAAAGTATGTAATCTTTTGTCAAATTAAAAAAAATATATATTTATAAGCTTTTTAAAATTTCTAATTAAAACAACAGAATAAAATCAAGTTGAATAAGAATAAAGTTACCAATCAAATAAAAGCAGTATTTTAAAAAATTATTTGTACCACAGAGGTGGCACAGAAGAACACAAAAGTGGCTTGTAGGTGTATTTTCAGATGTTTAATGAAGTTCAGAGGTGGCATGAGTGGAATTAAATTCATAAATTCATGTTGAGGTTAAACGAATTAAACGAATTAACAGAAAATATCCTTTAAAAATGAAAGTAAAACTGCCAGTAGGTGGCGGCAAA